CTCTACTTTAAAGAGTCCTCTCCTGTTGATGTTCAGGTGTATATCAGTATGTAGTGTCTCTACTTTAAAGAGTCCTCTCCTGCTGATGTTCAGGTGTATATCAGTATGTAGTGTCTCTACACTTCAGGTGTGTTGGAGCTATAAGGGTTGATGTTATTTGGTAATTAAATCTGTATTTTCTTGCTGTGTATCAAATGAATGATTAATGACCACAGTTGTTGTGTTTACTGCAGTGTGTGTTGGTGTTTCAGACCTGAACGAGGTCCCGGAGACAGAGCTTCTGGATAACAGCATCCAGAAGGGCCGCGCCCAGCTGTCTGTCAGGGCCCGGCGGCAGAGGCCCTCCCGGTCCCGCTACCGCGACAGCGTGAGCTCCACGGAGGGCGACGACAGTCTGGAGAGGAAGGTTCGCTGAGGACAGAAATACTGCAAAACAATATAAATACTGCAAAACAATATAAATACTGTTAAAAAATATGAAAAAACACAATTAGTTATTAAGTGTGCAACAGCAATGTCTTAGACCTCAGCTCCCTCCTGTAAAACTCTTAAATATGTAAAAGCAGATTTTAAAAAGTGGTTGTACCCTTAGTCAAGTCTTCAGTCACTTGTGGGGTCCCTCAGGGCGGGGAACTGGGCTTTCTTTCTATTCAACATTAAAAAGGAAATCAAACAAACGCAACCCTGCTTTCTGTGAATCGTTTCAGGAGAGTCCGTTGCACTCCACTCACTCACCTCTCCACCTGGCCGTGCGAGGCTCCTCCCCCTCTCCTAATTCGCTGCTGTCGGCTCGAAGCCCCGCCTTCTCCTTCGACGCCTCGCTGGTGAGACCAATCAGAGCTCAGACTGCTGTGACATGTTAAGATGAAACACAGAGAGCAGAGTCTTCCTCACCTTCTGTCCTCAGGTGCGCCGCTCCCCAGACCATGAAGGCCTCTCATTGGCTGCTCCTCCGAGGGGGCGGTACCGTCAGCTGACCAATACCACGTCTCAGGAGGCGCTGGTGACGCCCAGCAGCCCCCCCTCCTCCAGGTCCTGCCCCCCCACAGACTGCCCCCGCGTCTACATGAGGAGGAGCAGGAGGCCGGACAGCGAGGGTACACCTGTACACACACCTGTACACACACTTGTGCACACACTTGTGCACACACTTATGCACACACTTGTACACACCTGAACACACCTGAACACACCTGTACACACCTGAACACACACCTGTACACACACCTGTACACACACCTGAACACACACCTGAACACACACCTGTACACACACCTGGACACACACCTGAACACACACCTGAACACACACCTGTACACACACCTGTACACACACTTCTACACACCTGAACACACCTGTACACACACCTGTACACACACTTCTACACACCTGTACACACCTGTACACACACCTGAACACACACCTGTACACACACGTGAACACACACCTGTACACACACCTGTACACACACTTCTACACACCTGAACACACCTGTACACACACCTGTACACACACTTCTACACACCTGTACACACCTGTACACACACCTGAACACACACCTGAACACACACCTGAACACACACCTGTACACACACCTGGACACACACCTTTACACATGTACACACACCTGTACCTGTACACACACTTGTACACACACCTGGACACACACCTTTACATATGTACACACACCTGTACCTGTACACACACCTGTACCTGTACACACACTTGTACACACACCTGGACACACACCTGAACACACACCTGTACACACACCTGTACACACACTTCTACACACCTGAACACACCTGTACACACACCTGTACCTGTACACACACCTGAACACACACCTGTACACACACCTTTACACACAACTGTACAATCTTGTACACACACCTGGACACACACCTGTACACACACCTGTACCTGTACACACCTGTACACACACCTGGACACACACCTGAACATATACCTCAAACTGATGTAATAGAAATGAAAGTGTGTGTGTGTGTGTGTGTGTGTGTGTGTGTGTGTGTGTGTGTGTGTGTGTGTGTGTGTGTCTGTGTGTGTGTGTGTGTGTGTGTGTGTGTGTGTGTATCAGTGTTGGTTTCTGACTCCAGTCGGGACACGAGTCCAGGTGATCCCGGCAGTCCGACAGTCGTCTTCGACAAGAAAACCAAGAGACGCTTCCTGGACCTCGGGTGAGACTCAGGAAACATGTTTACATATTTATAAAACAGCTGTTGGTCATCAAAGATATCACCACAAGTATTATTTTATATCTGCAGGAATGAGTCCTAAAGTTTGACACGAGTCAGCATTATGAGTCCTAAAGCCTGACACGAGTCAGCATTATGAGTCCTGAACCCTGACATGAGTCAGCATTATGAGTCCTGAACCCTGACATGAGTCAGCATTATGAGTCCTGAACCCTGACATGAGTCAGCATTATGAGTCCTAAACCCTGATATGAGTCAGCGTTATGAGTCCTAAACCCTGACAT